TGCAAATGAAGCAACTGACAAGGGATTAATCTCCAAAATATACAAATAACTCATACAGCTTGTCAAAAAAAACAAACAACTGAATCAAAAAATGAGCAGAAGATCTAAATAGACATTTCTCCAGAAAAGACATACACATGAACAAAACACACATGAAAAGATGCTCAACATCACTAATGATCAGACAAATGCAAATCTAAACTGCAGTGAGGTATCACCTCCCACCAGTCAGAATGGCCAACATCAAAAAATCTACAAACAATAAATGCTAGCGACAGTGTGAAGAAAAGGGAACCCTCCTACACTGTTGGTGGGAATGTAAATTGGTACAGCCACTATGGAAAATAGTATGGAGGTTCCTCAAAAAACTAAAAGTAGAGTTGCCATATTATCCAGCAGTCCCACTCTTGGGCACGTATCTTGTGAAAAGCATAATTCCAAAAGATACATGCACCCCAATGTTCGTCGCTGCATTATTTACGATAGCCAAGACATCAAAGCAACCTAAATGTCCATCAACAGAGGAGTGGATAAAGAAGTGGTACATACATGTACAATGGAATATCACTCAGCCATAAAAAAGAACAAAATAATTCCATTTGCAGCAACATGGATGGACCTAGAGATCGTCATACTGAGTGAAGTTAAGTCAGACTGAGAAAGACAGCTATCATGATATCGCTTATGTGTGGAATCTAAAAAAATGGTACAATGTATTTACGAAACAGAAATGAAGTCACAGATGTAGAAAACAAACTTATAGTTACCAGGGGGGAAAGAAGGAGGAGATAAATTGGGAGAACACGATTGACACATACACACTACTATATATAAAATAGATAACTAATAAGGACCTACTGTGTAGCACAGGGAACTCTACTCTGTGCTCTGTAATGGCCTATATGGGAAAAGAATCTAAAAAAAAGTGTTTATATTTATACGTATAACTGATTCACTTACTATACACCTGAAACTAACACAACAATATAAATCAACTAGGGATGCCTATATGGCCTCTATGGGAAAAGAATCTTAAAAAAAGTGTGTATATTTATACGTATAACTGATTCACTTTACTATACACCTGAAACTAACACAACAATATAAATCAACTATACTCCAATAAAAAGTAAATAAATAAATTACAAACAACACAACAGAAGGTTATAGGACAAAATTTAGAGAAATATTTAAAATGTGCATATGAACAAAAAGGTTGCATTTGGAATCATGGGTCAGCATAATTTTAATATTCCAAATTACACTTTCCAAGCTAAAAAAACATTACTTCCCACTTTGTATTCATGCTTTTTTTTCCCTCCTGTTGTTAAAAGAGGCTATTAATGCAAGAGACTCTGATTACTCTTAGCCCAAACGGGGAAAATGATACCTGTGTTTTATTTTGGAAGTTCTTTGGAAATGCCTGTTCCTGCTTAGGTTATTCTCAGTTTTTCTTTGTGCTATTTAGGAAATCTTAAAAATAACTAGGACGTTAAAAGTATGAGTCTTCAAGCAAAGTTACATTCTAATAGGCAAAATCAGAAGTCCTTGGTTCAAATTCCATCTTTGCCACTTACTTGTTGTCTCCTCAAGGAGCCTCCCTTACATCTTTAAAGTGAGAGATTAGATCAGTGTTCTCCAGAAAGTATAAATTAGGTCTCCAGTGCTGAGCTAGGATTTACCACCCTGCCCTGGAGGTGGGGTGGGGAGGATGGTCAAAAGTGGTTTTAAGAAACACTGCTTTAAGCTAAGTGAAATGCTTGCTTAATTGCAGCTCTCTTCAAAGCCCTTAATATGCTAGTGGCCGTGACCTCCTAGAGGGCCAGATAGATAGATACTTCCTGAAAGATTTGAGTGTGCGCTGCCCTCCTCCTTTGGAATGCTAAACAAACAAACAAAAAATTAACAAATTATTAAAGAACTAAACAGAATTTTTATTGTCAGCATGATGATTATTTTGATACTAATTTAAAAGATAACATTTTTTCAGAAACAATTTTTTTTCTATTGATACCCTTCTTTGTTGGTGCCCTAACCGCATGCTTAGTTTACTATGGGTAATCCAGTAGTGGGAGTATAGTGTGCAGATTTTCCACACTCTGGATCACAGAATCCCTCTTTTCACATGAAAATTTGTGAAGCTAATCTGTTAGAAATGACTCTGGGGAATACTGCATCCTTAGATCATCTTTAAGACTTCTTCTAGCCTAAAAATCTAGAATTCTAAGATGATGATTTGCTACTTTTTAATATATTCACTCTGCTTTTGGGGGGAGTAGGCACGGGGAGGATGGAGGATGAGAGTCTTCAGAACGACTCTGTGATCTTAAATTCGGTCAAACTCTCAGTCTTCCAACCTTCACACTGACCTTAGAAGGCCTTTATCTCAACCCCAGTATTGTTGGTCTTTTTAATTCTTCAGGTCTTCTCTGTCTAACTGAACTGTAAGGACACCAATTGCCTATAAATCGTCAGTACGGTAATGAGCAAACTATATGCCCTTGATTACCATCCTTACATGTCCTTTAAGCTTGTGAATAATAATATATTTCTATTTGCACAGTACTTTACAGTTTGCAAATGATTTTCATAATCATGCTCTCATTCACACAAATTTCTCTTTTTACATTGCAATTCATTTTATTTTTAAAATAGTCTCACTGCACAACTTAAAATGTTCTTGTTGCTCCTGATCACAGCCTTGACACTTTGAAAGCCTACTGTTTTTATGAATGCCAGTGCATGACATAAGCATTATGTAAATGTGCACTTTCACACTTCATTAGAACAGAGAAGGTGCACAGGAGTGAATTCAGTTCTATTAAACAGCAACACCTTTTCCCTTCAAACTTCAGCTAGCCATCATGAAAATGTAAAGTACAACCATTTATTTCTCCTCATTTGTTTTCATGTAGCAACGAGATCACTTGAAGGATGAAGCAAGTGATGGTAGGAGGATATTGGAAACATTTGTGTAAGGTTATAAAACTTGAAAGTAGCTCCAGCCTCACTCATAAATACGGATGCTTAGATATCAGCCCATGTGACACACCTGAGCAGTGAGGGGGTTCTGTGTCATGTAGTCCATTGACTAAGACAGCATTCACTGAGCAGCTCTGATGGAGATTCATGCTATATTAGGCATTTTCTGCTCAATGCACAATAATACCAGGGTAGAATATGGGAGTGGGAGCAAAGAACAGACCAAACATAAAAACACACACAAAATGTTGTTCCCATAACAAGGTAGATTTTTAGAAGTAAATGGCGTAAACCTAAACTTTGCAAAGATGTACAGAGAGACCAAATATATACCATGGTTCCCATGACTACTACTACTAAAATTTCCCTTACTGTTGCTGCTATTATGAAAATTTTGATTGCTTTTATTCTTAAAAGGAACCCCACTTTCTTGCATAACACAGAAATAACATGTATTTCTAGAGACTTAAACTCTTGGTTAAAAATGGAACTATTCACTCTATCGATGAGTTGCTTTCCTTACATGATTCTAGGAACAAATTACTCACGTTTCTAACAGCTATAGCTGAGACATATGAGGGCTTTTTGCAAATTAGGAAAAGGAAACCCTCTGGGTTTCCTCAGAAACCTTCAGGCTAACTGTCAGAACATCCCAGGCTAGTTCAAAACATTGTTGAGGGCTTTTTGTGAACTTGAATAAGGGCCACTTGCTCAGGGCAAATGCAGCCCTGCACCAGAGTACACAGCTTGGGGAACAGACCATGGGCTGAAATCAGCCCCCAGGCACTCCTTCGGCCAAGCATCCTGTGCAGTGAAACACCTGGACAACTCTACCCAGCAACACTGAGGTTTCTTTACTAAATTAAGCAGCTGGGCACCAGAAGAACCCACAGAACACTGAGGGAAGAAGGCTTCATCTAAATAGGACCTACAGATAGTTTGAAGCATCTTCATTTTAAAAGATACCCCTGAAATTCTTGAGCTAAATTCTGATCTGTGGGTGGAAGAGATAAGAGTAAAAAAAAAAACCCACTATTAGCTCAGCCCTGCCATATAGATGGGGCAGAATCAGAAGAGATTATGTGGGCTGGGCTGGCAAAGTGACATATAATAAAAATAGCGTTTGTCTTGTTAAACACCTACAGTGTGCCTACCAGTCTGCCAGACTCCTGGAGAGTAAAAAGTAGAAGTAAAATATAGTCCCTGCTCTCAAAAATTTTAAACCTTGTTGAGATAGAGATGCAAGGAAGAAGAAAAGAAATTGGAAAGTGAACAAAACTACATTGCCCTCTTACCTGTCTTATTTACATAAGCCTTCTGCTTATGTGGATACACTTAATGAGCTCCGTGAGGTAACAAAGAATCAATTGCTGCAGATGTAAGCTCTTATATACAGGATGGATAAACAACAGGGTCCTACTGTATAGCACAGGGAAGTACATTCAATATCCTGTGATAAAGCACAATGGAAGAGAATATTAAAAAGAAGTATGTGTATATGTATATCTGAATCACTTTGTTCTGCTGTGCAGAAATCAACACAACATTCTAAATCAACTATACTTCAATTAAAAAAAACAACATAAAACCCATTGCTGTATCCTGGGTACATAGTAGGGAATCACATATTGTTTGACTGAGTTTGTGATGAATCTCATGGGAGTTCAGAAAGGACAGAATTACTCAAGGAATTTCTGGGGGAACTAAAACATAAGCCAAGCATTGAAGAATACATTCCATGAACATAGGAAGTATTGCTTGTCTAGATATATTTGTATATTTACAACTTTACAACTGAAAGATATTCTTGATCTGTTGATCTAAACAAACTCCAGCTCAAGTATATATTTGTGTGAAAGTGGCAGAATTTGACATTCTCCTAAGCCCAATGTGCTTTTATAACTGTTATATTGAAAGAGCTTGGTAGCTTTTAAAGAGCGCTCACTGGAAAAGAGCACAGAAGGTGATTTCAGAGTTGTTTTGGTGTAATGACCCCTCTTATTCCATTGTTTTCACAGACCATAAACAAGACCGAACGAAGAATGTCCGTCTGAAACTCTGCCTTGAATGAAGAAACTTCATTGAACAAGAAGTTGGCTTCCAGTTTTGCACAGGCGTCGATGGAATGCTTTTTTTTTTTTAATTTTCTACTTTACCCAATGAAAACAACGTGTTTTTATGTGCTGTGCAAGTGGTTCCTTCATGTGGTCTGACAGTTTATTTTTTCCATCATTCTTTTTAAAGAAAAAAAATATCCCAGAAGAGGACAACAAGCAAACAAAGCAAAACATGGAAGGTTGACATTTATCTGGAAGAACATTTGAATTCAGAATTTATCTGAAGGTGTAGATAGATTTTTTTTTTTAATGGAAAATCTGATGTCAAGAGGTGGGCAAGCAGAAATGGAAACAAATTGTCTTCCTCAGTAATTAAGCTACTCTTTCTTTTTCCCTTCTTGTTTAAATCTAGTGGGTTGGTTTTTTTTATTTTTTTTTTCTTAGAAATATTTAGGTAAGGTTTATCTTGAATCTTAATTGCCTTAATTTTAAGGACGTCAAAGGCTCTCGAGGCAAGCTCTCAACGTCTTGTTTAAAAAAGAAAGAATTGAAATATTGTGCCAGCTTTCACTGGTACAGAAGTTTAAGACTATGAGTTTTTAGGGTGAAAAAAAACTGTACAGTTTAAAAGAAAATGTTTTTCTTCATTTGAAGAAAATTTGTTGATAAAAGAAACCATGGCAACTGCAAGAATTGGGAAAATGCTGGGACTTCTGATGAACTTTGTCTTAAGTGTTGAATCATTCTAGAAGGCTAAAACATTTTACGGTAAAGTTATTAACGTTGGTTTCAAAACAACTGCATTAGAAATAATGCGTGTTTGGGGGGCAGAATGCAGATTTTTTTATTTCTGAAGCGTGATGGCTAGCAAAAGCTTTAGTGCTTTTTATCTGCAGTCTTTTTTATGAGCTTTACAAACTTTTTAGTCAGCTTTGCTTGTCACATTGCAAAACCTAGCTTAAGAGCATTTAAAAAAAAAACAAGTAGATAGGAGCTTATGGTCAAAAAGTGAAAAAAAAAACAAAACACAAAAAAACAAAAAAAGCAATAGATAGAGAAATTGTTGACAATTTCTGTAGTCTTTCCTAGTTGTGATCAAATTCAGCCTATGGATGGCCTATTTTATACCAAAGATGAAGTGGCACCCTATTGCAGTCCAGAAGATAGAGGTTGTTTTTCTTTTCTTCTCTTTTCTTTTTTAAAATTTTATTTGACCTACATGGCCGGACCAGTTCTTACTTTGTTGTTTGTTTAAACTACCTTCCACTGGTGTTTTACATACTGCAAAAAAAAAAAAGTTTTTATTTTAAATGTATTTTTGTTGATAGTAGAAGCTTGTTCCTGTGTGGTCAGCAATTTCAGCACCAAGAGTTCTGGATTCCAACCAATAGAGCCAAATGGCTTTAAATTCCATGTGCTTTTCTGGTTCCTTCCTAGCTCTCTTGAATTGTGAAGCCTGTATTGATGGCCACCAATGAGCTAAAACACTTGTTTAACAGGTTGAAACTTCTTTATATGAATTTTGAACTCAAGATACTCCCTGAACTGGTCTGAAAGATCACTTGTCAAAAAAGCTCAGTCATGCTCTGTTGATTGGTTAGTGGTCTCCTGAAAAAGTCTCACTGTATTTGTAACAACAGTCTTCCTTCTAAATTCCCGCACTTCTAGATTTTGTCTTCTCGCCTCAGTCTTTGTCATCATCTACCGTGAATAGCCATCTTGACTCCGCAATTGGGGAGGGGATATCTTTTTTTTTTTTTCTTTTTTGCCTCTTTTCATTGTATTTTCATATCCTGGTGTCATCAGAAGAAAGAGAAAATAGACTTTTTAATTTCAGTTTAGCTCCCTGAGGCAAATAGGACCAATAAGATTGAGGATTCTATTAGTGGAATTTAGGTAAGCTTTTAATGCTAGTTGACAATCAAGAAATTGTATGATTTATATGAATAAGGACCCAAATAATTAGATTTGATCAATTATTAAAGCCAAAGGCGATATATTTGCATTGAGAATGATGCAAAACATTGTCTAAAATGAATTAAATTGACTTACCAAACATCTCTGCATATTTGAGTCATGAAATCCATGTTCAACCTATACAGTTTTACCTGAAATGAAGGACAGTGGAACTTTGTTAATTGACCCATGTGCTAGAATGGCTTTCTAATGTATCATTAGAATCAATAGGTGAAATTCTTCTCACAAAGTCACAGGAACCTGTCTTAGTCCAGAAGGAAGAGGGTAATGCATACAGTGCACTGTAAAAGAAAACAGGGTAGGTGTTTAAAAACTAAAACATTAAAAAGTAAAGCATATTCCCATTAGGTCAACATGAGTAATGAGTTTGACTCATAAAAAATAATCAATATTCTACTATTTATGACCTGTAAACAAAGGCCTAGTGTTGAAATAAATCCAATTCTCTTATTTGAAAAACCCCATGAATTGAAAGCTCATTATCTAGAGAGTGATTCCATATCTTTGTGGTCCAATTAGAGGCAAAAATATAGCTAAGGCAATGTAGCATGTGCTACGAAAAAGTTTCAACTGGTCACAGCCATCCTTATGGTTTTCCATACTTTAGAGAGAATCCTAAATTTATACTTTATTCTGTTCCATTTTTCAGCTTTTTTCTGTTCCATTTTTCAGCTTCTCATGTATTTTAAGGGTGGCACTTAAGTTTTCTCTTTGAGAAATGGGCCCCCAAGTTAGTGGGGGATGAACAAACCTGTATAGGAGCTGTGCTTTTTGTTTCTCTTTTTCAGTCTCTGAACTCTTAGTATAAATAAGGATTATCCTGGGCATAATTCATTTGAATATGAAATCAACATGCTTTCTTCTTCTCCTGTAAAAAAAGAAAACAAAACAAAACTTAATGTGATACAAAGAAAGTCTCATTTACACAATCAACAATGAGACTAAGAGGTAGCTACCATGTGGCTGGTGAATGTGCCTAGGTAACTTCCTGTTTCTATTCAAAACTACTGCTTTATTTATACATTCAGCAAAATTTTTTTCAACTATAAAATTTCAATAATCTCAATTTTTTTAAACCACTTCAGGCAAATTTTATCATTTTGCCTATGTCATTTTATGTGTCCATGTGTGCTTTGTGTTTGGATTTTTTATATTAGGCCATTCTATAAAATATTTTAAATCTAAAAGGAAAAAAAAGAAGGAAAAAGTGGCACATGTTCAAATTTACACATCATCTCACCTAAAAATTGTTTTTAAGAATCAAGTCTGGGGAAAAAATAAAAGCATCAACAGGTAAGCATTGTATGAAAAGTAAAACAAACTTTACTTTTCATACTTTACATTGTATGAAAAGTAAAACAAACCAAAACGTGTGTTCAGTACATACAGACATCAGAGTCCTAATTTAATCAGCAATATAGATTATGGTGACTTTAACCCAAATTAGGACTACAATCATTTTTTAAAGTATTCTGTTTCACAATACTTCAAGCATTTATTCAGATGTTTCCATTTTTCCTTTCAATTGTAATTGCCAAGACTTAGCCTAAATGTCAGGAAACAAACTAAAACCACAATCCAAATGGGATAAAAATCATCTCCTCCAAACTCTAGTTCCATGGTCAGTGGAGGAGTAGGTATTCTTTTAATAACGAGGAGGTATTGTCAGGAAGGAAGTCTGTATAGTGACTGGGAGCTCCTTAGAGCCTGGCCATGTCTTCTGAAGACATCACGAAACCTAGGTGAACTAAAGGTAATACTTGGAGGGTGGGCGCCTGTTTGTCTTTCAACACGGGCATGTCTTGAATATTGCAAGTCACATGCTATTCTAAAAATAATCCACCTGACTGCAGTTTGGTCAGGGTTAGTTTGTTTCCTTGGTAGATTTCAATCATTCAGATGTTGTTGCCATGCTTCACTTGAATCAATTCTCCTGTGACCTTAACATCTGCCACATTTGACAGCATATAAGACTCACTTCCATCCCTCTTAATGAAAAACTACATGGTGTTAAAAGCGTCTGTATCAGAGATGGAAAGCCCAGGGCAGGAGAAGGCTAGGTGGAGCAGGAAGTTTGCTGTACCTACAGAGTCCATCAACCCCTTGCAAAACTGTTTTATAATCATTTTCAGTCCATGTATGAGAAAATAAAAGTACTTAGTTTTTTTAACTTTATTTGAATAATTGGGGTGTCTATTATATATATATATACACACACACACACACACACACACACTTATGAGTCTTTCACAGTGGCCTAAAATTCCAATTAATGAAAGTTGAGTTGTGATTATGACCTTTGCAGTCTTCTTTAAGCTTGAGAAAAAGTTTCAATGGACTGTCTAGACAGATGATAATCTTAGTAGGAGACTGAAAATACATTTGACAATTCAGTCTCATTCTTAATCTGAGTGCAGGAACCACTGCAAGATGAGCTGATCAGCCGAGAGAAATTTTTAAGTGGGTTTCAGTGATAAATGTTTTTATATGATATAAAACCAAATGAAAGTATAATATTTATGTAGGTATATAACAACATTCAGCACATTGGAAGAATCACACTTCATAATCAAGTTTAAACATGTCATAGAGCCTTGATCTATATTCTCTTGTCCACAGTAGGGAGTAAGGATGAGATTTTGTTTTTCATGTTGTGACTGGCATGCTTCAAACTTCTGAGCTTGCTGGGACTGACATCACCTCATTCCAATTTGAGGGACTGACAGGCTTGAAACAGGCTCATTGATCCTGTGTATGATACCCCTTCTGTGACAGAGTAATAATGGGATTTCATTAGTGAATCAATTTGTTTTGCGGATGACACCTACTGTGGCATTGGAAGACAGCTGAGTCTGACTCAAATTGAACATTTCTTACAAAATATTCTGAAACTTGAAATTGGTCCCTTAATCCAAGTGCTCTTGTTCATGGCTCTCCTCTGTGGAGTACATAGAGTTCAGGAAAGTACAAAAGCTAAGAACAAAATCCCTGAGTGGCCCAAATGATCTATGTTGATGTAAGGCAGGGGAGCTCAGCCCAGATTGGTGATTTCTTTTATCTCTGGTTTTATACCTCATTACCTATGCTGTCACATAAAAAAGGATGGATGGCTTCTCCATATTTATTTCTTTGTATTTCTGGGAGGGAAAATAAACTTTTTAGAAAAGCGTCTTCTACGCAGAAGCTCTAAAGTTGAAGCAGGGGTGAGATCGATCTTGGAGTCTGCAGGAAGACCCAACCACTAGGCCACTGGGTCATGCTTTTCTTCCACTGTATTCCCTCCAGTTAGTGACTGCCCTGAAGCCCCAGTCCTGCAGAAATACAATACTCCCAAATTTTGAAGGGCTAATCATCCACTTTGTGCACCTGTTTTGTCTTCTCTTTTCAACTATTAGGACTTGGGCTCTATTTCCTCCTATTAGCATTTCACCCTGAGGATGGAAAAAGAAACATTTGGAAATACTATTCAAATCTGTTTTGTTCCTTAGGTATTCATTTATTGAAGCAGTTTGAAATCATTGGTAAAATTAATGTCAGTGCATTATATTCTGTGGGATTTTAATATCCATAATGTCCCTTTCCCATCCACCACAAACAATTGAGAGTTGGCTGTATTCTTGCAGAATATAAAGGAAAAAACTGTAGCAAAGAATTTAGCTTCCCTCAAAAGAAAGCTATTTTGGATTTGTTCACTATTGAAATTTGAACCAGTAGAACAGGTCAACTCAAAATTGAGTTATGGGAATATAGTAACAGCCCTTGGTTAAATATGCACTCTTATCCCTATCTTAAATCTTGGACCAAAAAATTGCAGTGTTTATTTTTTGACTTTGCATTACAGTATTAAGGCTTTAATGACCTTGACACTCCGGTGGATTTTTTTTTTTAATAATTATTTCAAGTTTAAATAGTATCCAAAGTGTAATTTTAGGATTATACCGTGTATTTTAAACTCTCTGGTCTTACATTATTAAGAAAGATGCTCTGTCCTCCTCCCCAAAATATGTTATCTCTTCATATATAAAAAAGGAGTTAGTCCATAGTTTTCAAGAACTATAAAAACTATT